ATTTACCAAAACACTGGGGGGAGGGCGGGCAAGAGGGGGGGTTGCTCAGGAGGCAAACCAAGAGTGGGAGGGAAAAAATATTAACAAAAAGGTAGAAATTATACAAAATAAAATTATCAGCATAAATTTACTGTACTAAGAATATCTACAGTTTAATGATACACATCCTATTGCCTTGAGACATTGCAAAAATCTACCATTCATCCATCAACCCCAGATATACTTCATTTCAAGTAGCCACAGTTACAAAGTCAAGACGGAATATTCAAGTATGGTTGTTAAGTTCACCTCCATTGGAAGCCAAATAACCAAACAGGAATCCAGAGAGAAGAAATGGGACGCACTGGAAGCCCCCAGGGCTCCCCCAGGACCCCCCCCAGGGCTCCGGGGCACCCCCAGCATGCATGCCACAGTGCGACCTGCCTTGGTGAGTCAGAAGAGGTGGAAAAAGAAACTCCACTCCTGTCCCCCCGTCCCCCTCCACATCAACGGCATCGGGATGTTCGGATGAGCCAGATGGTACTTTTCAAATCCCCATGTGATTAGCGATGAGTTATTCCCTGAATGATGGGCAGTTAAAATGCAAAGAGCAAAGACAGCCACTACGGAGAGCTTCCCTGATTATTGGACAGATGCAGAGGCGATGTGGGCCAGCCCGCTCGGTGAGCCGGAGAAGCAGCTTGAGCCCTGGGCTTCTGTGCTGCTGCCTGCTGGGGAGAAGCCTAGTGCTCTGCTTTCTTGGGGAGCCCCTGGCCCCCTCCCACGCATGAACACAAGTGCACACGTGGGGGGGGGCCACACCGCCAAGTGTTGGTTTTGGTCCAGGGTAGATTCAAGTAGCCCACACACGACTATGGATGTAGCTGGTCAGTCAGACTAGGATCTGAGGAAATCGAATCCAGGGACAGCAACAGTGACCGAGAAAGCTCAACGAGCCGGGCAGAAGAAATTCACATTTTAGTCAAAAGCAAAATGTCATGGGAACGTCACAAAGCTCCTTTTGGTGTTTGTTCGCCAGCAGTTAAAATTGCAGAACAAACAATTTGATGACCCCAGATTTTTAAAGGTCAAGTACAAATGGACAAGCTGCACGAATGAGGACCTTCACAGAACCCCCTTTCCCAAGTTGCCACAAAGTTGTCCTGTTTCTTTTTGAGGTATTTAAAAAAAAAAAAAGCGACAGTGATGACCCAGAAATGGAGCTTCCTGTTGAGTTTTTGAACAACTCCTGTGGACCCAAGAAGAAACTCAGGATAGCACCAACTAACAGGGACCCTCTGCAGCGTCAAGAGGGGGCGCAGCACCCCTCCTCGGCTCCTACAAGAGGGCGGGAAGATCCTGGCCCCCGGCCGGGACAGGGTGGAAGAAGACTCACTGGCCAAAGCGTGGAACCTGGGCGACAGGAGCCCCGACCCCCCCCTTCCTTATAAACAGACCAAGCACGCGCTTCCCCTTTTCCTTCTCTTAGCCTGAGACAACAGGTGTGGAACCCACGGACCCACCCAGCCAGGGGGTCCGCTCCCAGCGGCGGCCGGAGGGCTAGCTGCCCGCTCCGGCCCCCAGTGGGAAGAGCACGATGAACCCGACGAAAGCTGCTCACAGCAGACACAGCACGGTAAACAGGGTCAAAGAAGACAGCACCAAGGGGGTGGGGGAGCCGGGGGACCAGAGCCCACCGGGGCTTGCTTGGTTCGGGTTCCGTGTTGATAGCACCTCGGCGAGACGGGGTCAGTCACATTAAATACCATAGCACCATTGTATTCAGACGATTTCAATTCATGAAAATGCTTCCTATACCGCAACCGCGCATCAGCAGCAAAAGCACCGAGACACTGCCGGGGGGGGGGATCCTGACACCACCAGCCTGGGGTTGAGATGTGGTGGCGAAGCGGCAGGATGACAACTTTCTCTCCATCAAGTGAGGCTCCCGCCTGGCCCTCGCTGCCCAGCCTTGAGCCTCTACTGCTGTTTGACATGCAAAGTGGTTAAGCTCGGGCACTTCCTACCTTCTTCCAGTGCTTTGTTAAAAAAACCCAACCTTGATTCTGAAAACTGATTCCAAGAGAGGCAGGGCGTCGCGGCCAGGTGCCTGTCCTTGTGCACACACCTCTGGTCGCCGGGGAAGGGGCCAGCGCCTGGGGAGCCGAGGTCCTGCTGACCGACCGAGACAAGCAACAGCGAGGAGACGGAAAGAGAAGCGAGCCCGGATCCTGACACCTGCAGTCCCAACGTCCCATGGCCAGGTGAGCTGAGGGCCAGGGTCTCTTAGCTAGCACCAGTTAGTTGTTAGAACCTGCCGTGAAGCGATTTTTGACAAATCCCTCAGCACACAACTCTGCAAGTGCTTCCCTTGTGCGCAGAAAGGCAGGGGAGACGAAACAAAGCGAGAAAGGAAAAGGAGGAAGGAGCCAGGTATCTGGACGGCGTCTGGCCGGGGCCCGCTGCGAGGTGGCCACTGCGACCCCAGCCCTCCCTGTCACCAGCACATCAGGGACTCAGACAACGTGGGCATGCTGTTAGGTCCTTAGTTGCAATGGCTTTATTATTTTTCTCCCCGTGATAAAAATGTCTGTTAATCATCATCTTTAAGGACTTAAAAAAATGCGTGTGCCAGTAAAAAATAAAAATTTGATTTTTTTCTCTTTAAGAAACCTTCAGCAGCAAGGGGCGGGGGAGGGCGAAGAGCTGTGCATAGTTACTTTTAAGAGGACTACAAAGCATGCTAATCGCAATGACAGATCTGAGGTAGGTCATACGTGTAGTGTGTGGAGTTGGCCTGGGCAGGAGCAGGCTGGCGCGGTCGCCCCCAAGACGGGGGTGCCGCCCCCCCGAGACGGGATGCCGCCCCCCCGACAGGCGGGCCCGGCCAGCGGCTCGACAAGCTGCTTCCTAACCTACGAGTGTGTGACGCGGAGGCCGCCCGGGCTGGGGGACAGAAGCCACATGCTTGGGGCTGGTGTGGGGTTCTCCTTCGTCTAATGGCTTTGCTAACAAAGAGTGGAAGAGGAGGGGGCAGTGGGAAGACTCGCGCCAAGGGTCAGTCACCTGGGGACCACGCGGGCCTCCCAAACCAGCAGCCTGCGCGCACGGCCGCGCAGACCGTCACTTCTCCGAATGTCTTGTCAAAGATCGTCATTTCTTGCTAAGATCATTTAAAATGAAGTTCGTGTTTTTCAAGGCACCCCCGCATCTACCTACGCATGAGTCCTATGAGACCTGCATAAAACGTGATAAGCAAAATAGCATTTCAAGGACCCACCTTTCCCTCCAAACTAGAAAATCGGCATGCTTGTTAGACTCTGCTTCCCTCCCCGCTCGGCGAGCGAAGGCCAGAGGTTTTCCTAGAAATCTGAGTTCTGAATATTTCTAAATCCTGATAAGCTCTTGGGTATTTATTTCAAAAGCAATAATATTTCATTTTTTTTTCTGTCCTGTAAAATAAATGCAACTTTACAGAATATGGTAAAAGTGAGGGCTTAGACAAAGCACATTAAATACTCCGCTACTATTTACAGGTCCCCGGTCACGTGGTAAAACGGACTTTTGGGGTTTTTTTTTTCTCTTCCTTTTTTTCAAGTTGCTGTTTAAATCTAGGCAAAAGTGCTTTTAAAAAATCTCGCGCTATTTACAGTTAAAACCAGACCACATAAATGCTCAGGACATCGGACAGCGATTCTCCGCCAGCACCTGGGGACGGTAAATGCCCAGCGGGGCAGCTCTCGGCTACACAAGGCACCTGGCACAGGGCTCGCCCTCAGCACTGCCGTCGGATCGTTCTCGGGGGACCCACGCCTGAAGGGAACGCTCTGGAGGTCCCGGGCAGGGAGGCCCTCCCCATCGTGGGGAGTAAGGACACAAGGGGGACCGTCGCCCGGCCTACCCCACAGGCAAGACCACGCGGTCAGCCTCGCTGCCTCCACCCGCCAGGACCAACCTCGCTCAGCGACACTGCCAGAAAATGAAGCACCACATACTCAAGTCCATGAACTGAACGAACGCACCAGAATTTCAGAAGGGGCGTGTTGACACGGGAATGGGGAGTAGAGATGACGGGTTTGAGAAATGGCACCAATTACAGAGGAGCCCCCAGCCGCCCGCAGGGGACGCCGGCCTCTGGGAGAGACTGTGGATCGCGGGCCGCCTGCGTCACGGCACCGCCGATGCACCATTGGCCCGTGTGGGGATCGGGAAGAGGGTCAGCACCAGGCCCCCCACAGCCACGCTGGCTCTTCACAGCTTGGGTTCAACTCCTTGGTTTTAAAGACGCAGCAGCCCTTTGCGCCTGGATTAGCACAGGCTCTGACACGGACCCAGATCGCTTCAGCTCAGTGCACCCTGGCCGGACAGAGCCTCGACTTCAGTGCCACCTGAGGGGCTGTCTGGTGAGCCAGGGCTTCGGAGACGACAGGTGACAGACAGGATTCAGCATGGAGACCAGGAGGGATGTGGCTGCTGCCTCCAGGCTGGCTCTGGGGATTACACAAACCAGCATCCTGGGACTCCAGCTCCAAGCCCAACAGAGAGGACCCCTTTCGGGAGGGACAAGTGGCTACAGCCTGCGTGGTTCGTGAGGGACCGATGGCCGGGAAGGGGCCAGGCACTGGCCGTCCCCGCTGACTCTTCTCCATGACTATAAATACACATTTTCAATGGCATTTAAAACTACTCCTTTGTGAAAGGACACTATAAACGGCTTTCCATGATGATTTACCAGGGTAGGATTTTTAAAAACCGGAGGAAAACGAAAGCAAAGTTTCTTCTCCCAAACCCCCAAACAAGGGAAACAGAAACCCCAAAGTGGAGCTATAAATAGTAAAATCATGGAAAAAGAAAGGAAATTAAAAAAATCACCCGACAGCTACAGCTTCGTCTTCAAAGTGCTGGGGAGGTGGAGGCCGGCCGGCTGGGAGGTCGGCCGCGAGCGTGGAGACGCGGTGGGCAGGGACCGCACCTCACCGCCCCACTGAGGGCAGAGCACCACGAGGCGGCCAGCCGGGCCCCTAGACCCAGCAGCTGTAGGGCCCGGTGACCTTGGTGTAGGCATAGGAGGACACGGTGACAGCAGAGTCGGTGGCCCGGGCCAGCGCCAGCCGGGTGGGCACGGCGCCCCGCTTCTCCTTCTGCTGGGGCTCGCAGGCCGAGGGGCCGCCCCACTTGCGCTTCTTCCCGTACAGCTTGGCCTCCTGCGGGCCCAGGCCCAGGCGGGCTGCCTCCTCCTGGCGCGCCCGGGCGCGCTCGGCCAGCTGCTTCATCTTGGCCTCCCAGAGCGCCAGGCCGTGGTGCGGCTGGTTGAGGTTCTTGTGCTGGTAGAAGACCAGCGAGATGCGGGTGGGGTGGCAGCGGTTGGGCTTCTTGAGGGGTGTGGTGGCGTGCAGCTCGCGGCGGGCACACTCGATGAGCACGGAGCCGTGCGCAGGGGCCACGGCCACCCCGCCGATGTTCTCGTCCAGGAAGTTGTGCTCGCTGTCCGACCACTCCTCCTCCTCCTCCTCGTCCCCGCCCTTCTCCTCCTTCACAGCGGCCCCCCCAGGCGGCTCCCCGGCTGGGCCCTCCTCCAGGCTGAAGGGGTCCCACAGCTTCTCCTCGGTCTTCAGGGCCCCAAACAGCTTCTCACTGGTGCCCAGGGCTACGCCGCCATAGGGCTGCCAGGCCTTGTCCAGCTGGCCGGCCCCCGGGGTGGGGACTCGCCCGTCCTCGCCTTTCACAGGCCCCCACAACTTCTCCTGGAAGCCAGGGCCTTTCAGGGTGGAGCTGAAGTCCCCAGCCCCAAGGCCCCAGGGCTTCTCGGCCAGGGCTGTGCCTACGTTCCCGAACTTGCAGGGGCTCCAGGGCTTGCTACGCAGCCGTCCCCCGGCCTGGGGGGTTGGCTGGTGCCCCTCGCTGGGGAACAGCCCCCACTGGCCATCCTGGAAGTGGGATGGGGCCAGGCAGCTGGTCCCAAAAGAACCAAGCTTATCGGGAACGACGGTAGAGCTGTCTCCGGACGGGAACGCACCCCAGCTGCCACCCACACCATTAGTCCTCTTGGGGGACACGCTTGAGCTTCCTGCGTACTGGCTCCACAGGTGATTGGGGCCCCCGTTCTGAGCTGCCTCGGGCAGAGGGGTCTTGGCCAGCTTGCCCGGATCCCTGGGGACAGGCTCGGCCTGGGCCAGGGGCTCCACGGGCTCTTGCTTGATGGATCTGGCGAAGCAGCTGGAGCTCTGGGCAAAGGGCGCGGGGTCCGTGGGCGTGGGGCACACCGGGGCGGCCCTGGGGAGCAGGTACTCCTTGGGGCCCGCGTAGGCAGGCTGCTGGTGGTGAGGGGGGTGGTGGGCGTCCGTGGGCACCGTCGAGGCCGGCGGCTCGGCATAGTCGCCAGCGCCGTAGGCCGTGCCCAGGCCACTGTGCAGGGCGTGCAGGTCTGGCTTCTTGTCGAAACTGCTGCCACGGCTGCTGTGGCCCCAGGAGCCGGGGCCCAGGAACTGGGAGGAGAAGACGGGGCTGCTGGAAGGAAAGCCGTAGTAGCTGAACGACGGCAGAGCGTACTTGGAGTGGAAGCCGTTGACGGCGGGCAGGCCGGGCTGTGCATAGTAGGAGTGGTACGAGTACACGCTGTCCACACTGTAGGGGTCGGAGGGCCGGCAGCTGCCCAGCACCGAGTAGCTCTCCACCACCGCGTTGCCACTGTACTTGAAGGAGCTGAAGTGGTTCTGGGGTTCCACCTTGAGGGCGGGCTTCAGGCCTTGCTGGGACAGTCCACCCTTCAGAGAGAGTCCTGGGGGAGAGAAGAGACAGTGAGCAGAGCAGAGAAGTCCACCCTTCAGAGAGAGTGCCGGGGACAGAGGCCGTCTTGGGGTGAAGAGAAGTCCACTCTTCAGAGACAGTCCTGAGGGAGAGGGAGAAGTTGGCAGTTCAGACAGTCCTTGGGGACAGAGACGTCCCTGTCGAGAGAATCCGGAGGGGGAGAGAGAGAAGTCCCTCCTTCAGAGAAAATCCCGAGTGACAGAGGAGTCCACCCTTTACAGACAGTCCTGGGGACAGAGAGATAATCTGGAGGATCAAGAAGATTCTGAAAGGAGTCCCTCCTTCAGAGACAGTTCTGAGGAAGAGAGCCCCCCCGCTTCAGAGTCTGGGGAGCGAGAAAGTGCACTGAGCCAGGCAGAGCCGCTGCCCACAAGGGCGTGGGCAGGACACACGGAAGGGGTCTATGAACTTGCTCAAGAAGGCGCCTCTCCAGGGTTGACAGCACCCTGGGACGGGCCAGGCCATCACCCACCCTCCAGTGGCCGGGTTTCCGGCACCAGCTCTGGCTTCAGCCTGCCCCCCATCACTGAGTCAGCTCCAGCTCCGAGCACCCCAGCAAGTGGCTCCAGAGGGTTTTCTGGGCTCGGCCTTTAGGACAGGGTGCCCCAAGCCTTCGAAGCTCTCTTGCTTAGAAGCCACGTACAGTGGCCGTTTGCAGCAGCCAGGGACATTCCCAACTCCTGGGAGGCAGGCCTGGGAGAAGCCAGGGCCCACAGGCCTTCATGGAGGGGCGCCCTTCCACGAGGATGACACTGGACCACAACCCTGAAGCCCACGCGCCCACTTCAGACCCCCAGAGCGTGAGGGGGCCGAGGTCCTCTAGAGAGCCGAGCCCCGGCGAGCAGAGGCTGTGCCCTGCGCCAGGCCAAGCTGCTGCCGGTCAAAGAGGTGGGATGTGGACACAGCAGAGCTCCAGGGAGGAAAGTGGCGCCCTGGACCCGGGGCAGGTGGAGCCCTGGGACTGCTGCCGGTCAGGTTGTTGGACGTGCAGCACAGGCCCCGAGGTGCAGACACGGCGCTCGGCCCCCCACGGCAGAGCCCTCACACACCTGTGTCCGCGGGGACGCCGGCCAGCTCCAGGGCCTCCTGCTTGATCTTCTCTGGGGTGCCCAGCTTCTCCTTCTGCACCTTCTTCTTCTCGGCCGCAGCCTTGCGGGCCTCGAGCTGGCGCTGGCGGCAGGACTTGGCAGGTTCGGGCAGGCGGCGCACCTCGCGGGGGAAGGCGGTCAGCACCTGGATGGCCCCGCTGTCCACCTTGGCCTTCTGGTTCTCCTCGCTGCCGAACTCGTCCGTGCTGGCCATCTTGTAGAGCGGGAGCACGTGCAGCTGTTCGTCCTCGGGGACCTGGCCCACGCTGCGGTTGTCCTCCTTGGTCAGCGTGCACACCTGTCCGCACAGGGGGCGCAGGGTTGGGGGCAGCACCCCCAGAGCTGACCCCACGCCTGCCAACCACCCGCCCGAGCTCCTCCACCGGTTCCTAAAACGTCTAAGAGCTCACGTTCATCTTGTTCAGAGAAGAACACATGTAACCTACACTTAGTGTTAGCTTGAGATTGGGGGGTACAGCCTGACCCTTCGGGGAAGTCCTACTGTAGGGCGACACTGAGCACCTACTGACCGGAGGACACCGAACAGCCACTCTGACAAGAGCTGACCAGGCGAGCCGCTCGTGGGCCTGAACCCCCCGCCCTGTGTAAGCAGCCAAGAGCCTCACGGCGCAGCACCGGGGTGACCGTGCAGACGGCTAAGGAAGGAGATTCTGCCTCAACACCAAGGCCCCTGAGGAACAGCCAAGAACGGGAAAAGACCTTCAACTTGACCGTAATAAAGTGACCCGGAGAGGGAAGAGATCACGGGCTTTTCAGGAGGGCGGAAAAGGGGCTCGAGGAAGTGACGTGAGTGGGAAGAGCGAGTTGGAGAGGAAGACGCCAGAAAACCAGCTGTCAAGTTTAAAAAATCCACACGACAACTTGGGGACGCACCAGCCTGCGCCACCCGCGGGGCCCTCATTCTGGACACCCCAGGACATCTGCTCACCTTCACATCCACCCAGAGAGGCCCTGGGACCTTGGGTCTGCACAGCCCCTGCGCCCACCCCCCTGAGCAGTCACTGCTCTTACAGAGTCCCCACCACTCCCCTTCAGCCCCATCCTCGGGCAGGCGCCCTGCCGCCAAACGAGCTTCTGCCAGGCCCACGGCCAGCCGGCAGCCGTGGGAATGGAATCCAACGCCAGAGGCAAGGAACAACGATCTCAACAACGGGGAGACACCGGGTCCCCGAGGGGCCTCCTGCAGGACCTCAGTGATGGACTGTGGGGAGACACTGGGTCCCCAGAGCTCCTCAGGGATGGACGCAGAGAGGTCAGGCCAGCCTAGTTGTTCCTTCCCCCTGGTGAGGGCTGCTCTAGGGGGAGCGGGCGCCCCCAAGCTCTAGACTCCCCCTGCACGCTGCCTGCTGTCTCACCACAGTGCACCCGTTGTAAAGATTATGCTGGTCCTTGTGGGCGTGGGCGCAGAAGTCCATGCATGCCGTGACCCCCGCGAACGGCCGCCCTTCCTTCAGCCCCAGGCGGCAGTCGATTGCCACGTCCTCGTTGGTCACCTGGGGAAACAGGCAGGGCTTGCAGGGGCTCCCAGGGGCTGAGCGAGGCCCACGTCTGTGCCCGTGAGGTCCAGGGGGTCACCGGTGTGTGTGGGCTGTGGGGGGGGAATGTCTGTGGTGACCATTCGCTTTCTGGTCTCTCTATAACTCTGGTCTGTGGCATTATGTTAACTACTCTGCGTGATGAAGAGAGATGGCCTGGTCCCCATAAACCAGCCAGAAGAGGGCTGGGGGCGGGGAGCACAGTGAAGTGGGGAGAGACAGGTTGGGATCCAGTTAGACAGTGCCAAGGGGTCTCCTTGGATAACTCAGGCATCCCTATTCCCGGAATGGCACCTCTAGTTAGCAGGTAAGAAGCCTCTCCCCGACCCTAGGTGGACACAGGGCAAAGAGGGGAGAGGCTGGGGACCAGTACCTGGTTCTGATAGGCCTGGGGGGCCAGGCGCTTATACAGGGGGGCGACTTGGGTGGCCAGGTCCTGGAAGCTCTGCCGTAGCACTTCTTCCTGCAGATAGAGACACAGGGTCACGCGTGGCCAGAGCCCCCGGGATGTCACGGGGACAGCCAGTCCTGAGGTGCTGGCAGACGTGTCTAGGGCGGCTGGCTCAGGCAGGGGTACAGAGCCTCGGTCTGCTTGGGCATGGGGACACTGAACTTGCCAGGACCCGGTCCTGGGAGGAAATGAAGACCGTCCACCTGGCAGAGCACAGCTCAGACAAACCAGGTCCATCAGACAGGTTTCTTCCTGAAGGCTAGGCTACTCTGACCACTCAGCCACCACTCACGGAGGTAACAGTCCACTCCAGCTCAGGACGGACAAGGCAGGGCGCACAGGGCACCTCAAGGTGCGGTCAAGTCAACCATGACTCATTCTGACCCTGGAAACAGATCTAAACCTTGTCCTGTGTCACCCTCGTCCCTGACACCCGGAGTCCATGGCTGCGTCATGGTCAGTCCCTCCCGGGCAGGGTCTTCCTCTGGCCTTCCGTCTTTCCCTGGCCTTCCGTCTTCCCCAAGGCCTGGCCCCTCCTGACAGCATGCAGAGGACAAGTGACAGGCACGTGCACTGTGTTACCAGCCCTGTTCCCCGTGTTGGGAAGAGCGAACAGGAGCCCAGGTGGGCCGGGTCTGTGCCAGGCCCAGCCCGTATCCGGGGCAGCTATGGGCACACGTAGGCAGGACACTGGCCTCATCTGTCAGAGGAGCAGGGGACAACGTGGAGTGGACCCAGCACGTGGCAAGTGCAGGGATGGGAGCTGACAGGCAGGGAAGGACTTGAGAGAAAAGAAACCAGGCAGCTCCTTCCTGGGAATCTGAGCTCTGGGGGACTGGGAGCTCCTCCATTCCTGGAAGCCAGTGCACTTGCTGCGTCTGTGGGAGGGCGAGGACATTTCCAAAGGAAAGCCTCGTGTCACAGAAGGCCACTTGCAGCCCACACAGCAGTCTCAGAGCCAGGCTCTTGAAGAGTAAGTGTTCTATATTTGAAAGGATTTCCTTCCACTTTGGTTATGAAGAGCCGAGCTGGGAGTTTGAGTGTGGAAGCTGTGTGGGCTACAGGGTGTGTGTGTGTGGGGGGGGGTCCCCCAGGGGAGGCCTGGGGAGGGCCAGCCTTGCACGAGGAGGAGCTTGGAGAGACCGGGAAGGGCCAGGCTAGGATGGAGATGCTGCTGGCTGACAGACAGGGCCAGGTGAGGGGTACGGCACCGTGGTCACAAACAGGCATGCATTCCCATGTGACTACCGGCCTGCACTGCAGATAGAGCCGGCAGTGGAACCGTGCCACTAAGTGCTGAGCCCCCAGTGGGGTTTCAGAGGCTCCAGGTCTCTAGGAGGGGACCGCCCATCTCTCCCCAGGAGCAGCCAGCAGACCTGAACCCCCTGTCACCGGGCTGGCAGCACCACGGTCAGGTGGCAGGCCACCAGAGCGCCCTGTATATGGGGGTGGCGGTGTGACCAGACGCCCTGACCGACTGAGTCACTACAAAGTCCTAAGGTTCACACTGTCCGCCAGGGGTCGTCGGCAGAGACTCTAAAACGGCACCACAGTGTCAGAGGCCAAAGGGAAGAAATGATGCCGTAAAAGAGATCAACACAAGATCCCAAAGAGCGGAAACGAAGTATTAGAAATGAAGACACAGAGAGGGAGGGAGAGAAGACAAAGCAGGGAGCTCACACGGCAGTTCTCAAGCCGAAAGAACGGAAAAGACAAATCCACGCCTCGAGTCGCAGGACGGTGGACGTTACAGGCAGAATCGTGAACGAGCCAGGAAGCATCAAAGGAACAGTCACTGTACCGAAAAGACCTGGCTGACAGAGCCCGCGTCAGGACGCAGCTGAAGCTGAAGAACCAACAATGTGAAGGGAGGAAGAGGTTCAAGCTGCACGGCTGACACTGTCTACAAACAAGGCCCCAGGAACTGACGGAGCAGAAACCACCAGGTTTTAACAAAGAGATGACACCGCTGACCAAGCCGTGCTGAGAACTGCAGAGGACAGCTCCCTGACCAACCAACTGGGGGGAAAGATGTATTCACTACCAAGAAAGGCGATCAAATGCACGCATGCAAAATCTTGCTGAATTTCATCCAAAAATGGCGAGATGGGCACAGATCTGCCAGAGTGATCTGTGGGAGGGAGGGCGCAGAGCTGCCGGAAGTCCATGTGGGGTTCAGAAGAGGCCGCAGCACCCAGAGTATCACTGCTGATGCCACATGGATCCTTGCTCAAAGCAGGGAATACAAGAATCTCTATTTGTGTGTTACTGACTGTGCAAAGGCAGCTGGCGATGTGGATCCTGTGATAGACACCGACAACGGGATTCTAGAATGTTCCGCGGTGCTCGTGCCAAACCTCCACCTGGTATGGAAGCACTTGTCGGAGCAGAGCAAGGGAGCACAGCCAGATTCCATGTCAAGAAGGTGTGTATCAGGGCGATACCCTTTCTTCACACTGATTCGATCTGCAGCTGAGCAGATCGTCCAAGAAGCTGGACTAAACGACGGTGACTGTGGCGTCAGGACTGGAGAAAGTCATTAACCTGTGGTAGGCAACACAGCCTTGTATGCTCTAAGGGAAGAGCTGCAGAAGATCAAGGATTATAGGCTCCAACCTGAGTTACATTTCAACGTGCAGACGACAAAAACCTTCACCACTGGACCAACAGACAACACCATGACAGATGGAGAAAAGCCATCAATGATTTAACCTTTAGATCCACAACTAATACCGTTAGTACCAACAGTCAGGAGAACAGAAGACACGTGGCACTGGGTACATCTGCCACGGACCTCTCCATAAGGCTAAAGAGCAATGGTGTCAATTTAAGGACCAAGGTGCGCCTGATCAAGCCATGGCATGGACCGTTAATCAGAAGTGATGCCTTTGAGCTATGGTCCTCGAGAAGAGTGTGGAATATCCCACGGACTGCCCAAAGGACAGACACGGCGTGGGGAACGTGCCACCAGGGGCTGCTCAGAGGCCAGGCTGCTGCAGCTTCACCTCCCTCACCCCAGCACGCTGTCAGGAGCGGCCAGTCCCTAGGAAGACGGCATCATGCAGGAAGGGGTAGAGGGTCTGCATGCGAGAGGACAGCCCTCAGCAAGGCAGACTGACACAGTGACCGTGACAATGGGCTAGTGTCAGAGGTGAGAATGACAGAAGGCAGGGCCCTTCAAAGTGTCCGTGAGTCCCAGCTGACTGCCCTGAGCAGCTCGTTAGCAGACGTCTAAGGTGAGACTCTCTCCACACCTGCAAAAAAAAAGGAGGGAAAAGCAGAAGTCCTGAAACCGGCAGTCCAGAGGACTCAACCTGCAGGACCTCAGCACCAGCTGGCCCTGTTAGCAGGATGACCATCTGAAGGGGTCACGGCGGAAGACCCTGGACGGAGCGGGGAGTGCAGAACAGAGAGGTGGACAGAAACGGTGGCCAGCCACGGACTCAACACATCAGAGACGGTGAGGGCTATGCAGGACATGGTCCACGTGTCTGCCCACAGGGTCGCTGTGACGTCACCTAAAAGCTGGTTCAGCCACTCAGCCTGGCCCTGGTCATCCTGTAACCTGAACATCCTCGTGGTTCAGTTTCCCACCAAAACAACCGGCAAGGCTGTAAGATGACCGGTAGGACCATGGAGGTACCCTGTCCCCAGAACAGTCCCCTCTAAGGTCAGGAGAGCAGGGGTGTCCGGATGAAACTCTAAACGCAGGAAGCGCAGGGCCAAAGGATTGAGGGAAATGACAACCACAGGGACGGAGCAGAGGAAGCGCAATCCATCGTGAATGTTGTAGTTAAAACAAAATGAAGGAATCGCTGAATGAAAAACCAGTAATAAAACCAACTCAATGTCAGTGCAGCCAAAGCTGCTGCCTGGAGTCCAGCAAAGGGACTCAGGACCCACCTGGTGGCCCAGGGGAGGGGACGCTGCCGGGAGAGCAGGACCGAGCCCACGAGGGGTGCACCTTCCCTGTGTCTGGAGTTGTGAGACAAGGTGACCCCAGGATACCCTTCCCAGCCCGAGCAGCAGGAGGAAGGTAATGGTGAACTGCCTGAGCTCTGGTCCCCTGGCTGAAGGGCGGCCACACCACAGGGCACAGCTGGCAGCCCAGTGACCAAGGACCAGGACATGACTAACAGTGACAGTAGGACAGCCCTACTTAGTGTCCAGCTATCAGCAGCCAGGATGGGGGCACCTGGGAACAGAGGCCCCTCTCTCAAAACGTTGTGCTGGGGAGTGCGAAGACATGTCTGAGAGGATCCAACTGTGATGAGGATTTAAACATTTTTATTGGAAATCTTTTTAAACTATAAGGATGGCAGGCGAGCTTTGGTGGTCTAGTGGCAAGAAGCTGCACTGCAATCCCAGAGGTGAGTGGTTCAAATCCACCAGATGCTCTGCTGGAGAAAAAGGGACAATCTCCTCCTGACGGAACACACACAGAAACTTAAAAAAGACCACTGGCTGTTCTGGGGGCTACCGGAAGAGCTCACACATCTGTCTTGGAGAATGGGCGCTCCCTAGAGGGAAGTGTGACCATACCTGGCCTTACAACCTTCGGGCATGAAGTCAGGAGGGGCCTGTCCTTAGAGAAGGACCCACGCTGGGGAAGGTGGAGGGCCAGCAAGAGCGGAGAGGCCCCGCGACGAGACAGACTGATCTCGTTCAGGTCACAGCAGTGACGACAGGCCTGGGTGGCCGGGGGTGTGGGGAGGGTCCCATGCTCACCTCCTTGGGGTTGTCCCCCGCCAGGCGGAACTTGCGTGGTGTCTTGCTGCGGGCGTATTTGCAGCCGTTGAAGTACATGCTCCAGGAGCAGCCGAAGGAGAAGGAGGCACCGCAGGTGTTGGGGTCTTTGCCTTGACAAGCGCAGGTCCGGCTGCAAGACACGGCAGGGCTCAAACCACAGACACAAGGTTCCCACACCCGGGACCGCCGCCTCCCAGGAGCCAGGTCACCATCTGTGCTGGGCCCCGATCCTGCAGGTCTAACCCAGACGTTCCTTGGAGAAGCAGGGGAGTTATCTGAGATAGGCTGTAAGAATCTACCTTAAAAACCCAGGAGGTTTGCATGCTGCCTTAACTCTAACAACGTCCACTAGACAGAAGATATCCTATGCAAACATCAAGATTCGATGTGTTGTGAGGACACAGCCTGGACGGACCCCCTGCAGCCCTGGGCGCTCCGGGACCTTCCTCTCCTTTCTAGATTTTATCTGTTCTGTTGTTGAGAACATTCAGTGAAGCGTCCAACACTTTCTACCTCCATGTGCCAATTACACGCATGTGGAGTGACTGCTCACGTCCTCATTCCAAGTCTTTCTTCACCAGAAACAAACGCGGGTCCTACCTAATAACTCGCAGCCTAGTGGGTAAGGAGTTGCACTACCGATCCAAAGATGGGCGGTTCTAATCCAACAGCTGCTCCTCAGGAGAAAGAAGGTCCATTAACTCCCTCTGAAAACCCACTGGCGGCTCCGCCATGTGTCAGTTCTGACTGGGAGCACATAACCTCCACACACACAGTTCCTAAAGCATACCACTCAAAGGAGACCTGCTTTACCATTTACGCTAAGCCCTCATTTGATCTCAAGACTTCAAGATAATCTCAAGGAGTTTCCAGGGGTTCAACAGTTTCTGTGGTGTCAGGAGTCTAAAAAAATGTGATGTGCTTTCCATGAAGATGGCGCCGAAAGCTAAGAAGGAAGCCCCTGCCCCTCCCAAAACTGAAGCCAAAGCAAAGGCATTAAAGGCCAAGAAGGCAGTCCTGAAGGGCGCCCACAGCCAAAATAAAAAAGATCCGCACATCACCCACCTTCCGGCGGCCTAAGACGCTGAGACTCCGAAGGCAGCCCAAATACCCCCGGAAGAGCGCCCCGAGGAGAAACAAGCTTGACCACTATGCCATCATCAGATTTCCCCTGACCACTGAGTCAGCCATGAAGAAGATAGAAGATAACAACACACTTGGATTCATTGTGGAGGTCAAGGCCAACAAGCACCAAATTAAACAAGCTGTAAAGAAGCTCTATGACAATGATGTGTCCAAGGTCAACACTTTGATTAGGCCTGATGGAGAGAAGAAGGCCTATGTTCCACTTGCTCCTGACTATGATGCTTTGGATGTTGCCAACAAAACTGGGATCATCTAAACTGAGTCCAGCTGGCTAATTCTAAATAGAAATTTTTCTCACACACAAAAAAAAGTGATGCTGTTTTTTTCAGTTTCCCCTTTTGATCAGGAATCTTCTTTGGAAGCTTTTGTTCAGTATCAGTTATGGTGGTGGTTGTGTTTTGCAGAGTTGGAACCATGGCCCCCTCTCCAGAAGGTTTTTAGAGGCAGTAAATTGCATGGGGGCAGTCTATTCTTCTCCCATTAACAACTAGGAGATTCAAACCCTGTACCTCTGGGTCGGCAGGGCAAATCCTTACCGTTAAATCATCAGTAATGGGAGACAGGTCTCCTGGCCAACGAGGCAGCAGGCCACACAGTCCATCCCCTATTTCTAACTCCCTCTCTCTGTTGCTTCAGGTGGACAGAGACCATTTAACGTGACCTGGGATGATCCCTCGAAGCTTCTAAGACCCAGGCACCATCAACCTAACATGGTGAGACAATTGGCGGAGGTGTCCCGCAAAGCCACCCCCCCCAGCTTCCACGCCGGGACCCTGATGTGGGGAGGACAAGGAGCAGTGTCCACATCAACAGGCTGGCAGCTTCCCTCCCTGCTTGGCTTTTCAGGGCTCACTGTTTTAAGTACATCTCACACAACTTTTGCCAATTCTACTTTTTTTCACAAGGTTACTATTTACAGCAATTACCATTTTTAGGGCACTCTACCTTTAACTGCTGTTTACCCACCTCTCTCCCTCCTTCCTATCTGGTTTTTGATGTTATTTTTTAATCTCAAACCACTGCTGTTGAGAGAACTGACTCCCAGCAGCCCTGCTCCCAAAACATTTCCTAGTGGGCTCAAATCATTGACCTTGTGGCTACTGTGAATACAGCATCCATGAACGCTGGCATTTAAGGTCCCCTTTTAGTCTGCTCTGGCAAGTTTTTAAGCAAATGAACACCGTAATTAAGATTCAATATTAAAGTTCTAGAAAGAATCCACATGGCTCTGAACTGATGCCTCTGAGCTGTGGTGTTGTCAGCAAAACAGAGCAGGACCCCCCCATGAGACAGACTGACAGCGACTGCAGCAGCGGGCTCCAACATATCAAGGATGGAACGGACAGCACAGGGGAGGACGGGGTGCAGAGCTGGTGTCCGCAGGGTCACTAAGAGTAGAAGTGGACTCAAAGGCACGTAACAATAGCTCAGCTAACAGATCAACAAGGCGTGGTCCGTCCATACAAGGGCTAGGACGCGGCAAGAAAAGGGACAGAGGAGCACTAGGACACAGAGGACCCTCGGTCAGGATGCCCAGTGGTTGCTGGTGGACAGGAGGCAGGCGTGGGGTGGGGGATGGAGGTCTCGGTTCTAATCCTGACTGGTTGGGGGCTATAGGCCTCACAGACATTGGTCAGAACTGTTTGCCTGAGAGTGTAACTTGACTAATCATTACACCTTAATTTCTTTTTAAAAATGGCCACAAGTAGCAACAACAAGCTGACACCAGGGATAAGAGAGTGGCTGTTAGAACAGATGTGCCGAGACGTGGCAGAGTCTGGGCGAGCCGGAAAACACCATGTGCCATCGGCCTGACATCAAAGGGCCGATGTCACTGGATGAAGCACCTAGAAGACCCCACATAGCGACCCGAGGCACCGTGTTACAACCTGGTCAGATGGTGGTGTGTGCCGTCCACTCAGGACTGCCCACAGCTGAGGGTCTGGTGGGTCTTCGGGCACTGAATACAGCGGGGAGATTGCCCACCCTTCTCCCGGGGAGCAGCTGGGAGGTGCCAACTGCACGTGGCTGGACTACAGTGCAGCTTCTCCCCACGAGGCCACCAGCAGCCCAGTGTTGTGTGCTGTCAAGGGGAACCCACCCACAGCTGACCTTCCTACAGGTTCTCAGAGGCAATGTAAGTCCAACCCCCTCCCACGGAGCAGCAGGTGGATTTGAACCGTGTGCCTTCGGGACGGCAGTACCATCCTTAGCACTATGCCACCAAAGCTCGGCACTCCCAGTAGCACACGTGACAACGTTAAATTGACAAAAGCTGTGTACGCACATGAGGGTACCCGGCCCCTGGCATCTGTGGGCACCATCAGATTGTGGATGGATGGGAAGGGACACGCCCAGGCCACCCGCACCCCCCACAGGGCCCCCACGTACTCGTCATTGAGGCCGCATCTCCGGCTCGTGGGGTTCCCGTACTTGCGGAGCGTGTCTGTGAGCTCCTGGTAGAGGGTGTCGCCCAGGCTGCGGGGGATGCCCTCCCAGGCCAGGATGAGGATGACGATGATGGCGTGCTGGCAGTGGTGGCCGGCCCGGTGCCGCACCAGCACCAGCAGCTTCTCCTCCACCGACTGTCTGCGGATCACCTGTGGGGACAGGGGGACGTTAACCCGGAGCCAGCGATGGGCGTGCTCGTCTCCAGGGCAGCGTCCCCAGAACGTCCATCTGGTGACAGCCACCATGCAGGGCGACACCATACAAAGAGAAAGAGTACTCGCTGGGAACGTCAAGTTCATGACTGTCCAGAATGGAAAGTCAGCACAGACGCTGACAGCCCGTGGAGACAGAGCAGGGTCCCCAGGCCCTCCTCGCTGCGGGGATACAGGCCCCCAGAGCCGACAGTGCGGCGGCTCCGCTGCCTCAGAACAGGAGGGATCCTGGGGTGGTGGGAAAGGGGGAGGTGGGCAGGACCAAGGGGCACAAGGAGCAGCAGACAATCCTGCAGGCGAGCTTCAGTGAAGGCTTCAGAGCAGGGGCGCTGAGGGACCTTGGGGACACGCTCCCCACGGCCTGGGTGGGGCCTGGGCTCTGGAGAAACTCAGGCTCAATAGTGGCCAGGAACCCGTGTGTGGGGACTGGTGGGCAGGGAACGGTATTAAATGTCGCCTGTGACAGGGGAGCTACGGACAGGCAGGCGGGAACCACCGGACCCCGCAGAACGGGCAGCCGGGCCTTCTCTGCTGACCACTGCCGGGGGAAAAGCCTGCTTGGTTATGCGACTTTTTCCAACTTCGTGAGGAAAATGGAAACCCAGCCTTATATATGAAATCTCCTTTTGTAAACAACAAAAATTTTAAACTTTCACTGGTTCTCCTTCCCTTTGTTTTCTCACATTGATGACAACTGCATGATGCCGTTTTCTGCCAGGTTGTGTGGAGACCCCCGCGCTTCCTTCTCGGCCCTCACCCCCCCCCATCAACTGTCTCACCCCGAAATCCCTGACGCTCGCTGCACCTGCTTCCACGTGCAGGGAACCCTTTCCCCAGTCGTTTCTCCTTCCTTCCCTCTGAAAATTCCGCTTTAAGGTGAACATTTTGTGTGTGAATCCACGCCCCTCAGGCCCATCACATCACTGGCTACCATGTGTCCTGGGCTTCAGCACCATGTGATGGGATGTTAGGTGACCACGCTGAGCCTGGACTCTGCCCACGGGACTGTGAAGCAGAGGACACGCCCCTCACTGCCCGTCCAGGAGCAGGGCTCATGGCACCAACATGGATACGCACACGCGCCCCACGTCCCGTGTTGAGGCCGGCTCATGGCCAGCCGTCAGCCTCGGCCCAGAGCCACTCTTTCCTGGGCTGGGCATCCAGGTGCAGGGCCCAGACCGGTCAATGCTTCAATTGACGCCGTGTGCAGAGCACACAGGTGTAAACACACAGCTCCGGGCCACCGCCTCCCTGTGGACTGTGCAAGGCCACACCCCCACAGTGACAAGCCAACGGCGGGGTACTTCCCACCAATGCAGGAGCCGAGGGGGGAGAGGCCTGCACGCACCCACCGCCCAGCTCAGACGAGAGGGTCTGCTTCACGCTCCACCCCAGAACTTCAGGACCAGCGCTCTGCAGAACCAAGAAACACCTCAGAACCTCACAGAACCAGAACCGTCTGAGTTGCTGGGATAGCAGTTTGGAGACTAAGGTGCGCCTGATTGCAGGCCCTGGTCTTCTCATCACCGCCTGTACATCTCAAAGTATGAATAAGCTGGATAAAGATGACAGAGGAAAGACTGACGCCTCTGACTTGTGGAGTTGGAAGAGTGCTGAGTATCCCATGGTCAGCCGAGAGGACTGACGAGTCCACCCTGGAGCAAGTGCAACCAGGGTGCACCCCGGGTGACGATGGGAAATGGTCACATACTGAGGGCGTGTTGTCAGGAGGTCCAGTCCCTGTGAGACGACCTCCTGCGGGGGAAAGTGCAGGGTCTGGGAAAGGCAGGAAGACTCAACCAGACAGACACAGCGACCGTGAGGATGGTGCCAGACATGGCCGGGATGGCACCTGCTGTTTTTCAGAGGGTCACTGCGCGTAACAACCAACCCAACGGCACTTCAGCTTCTGGGCAACAACTCTGGGCACTGGCTGCCCACAGGCCCCCAGTCTGTCCTCTCACAGGCATTCGCGCCAATACTTTGGGGTTTTCCACTCTCTCCACCCCCCTACCCCCCAGGGGCCTTCCTGTGGCCCTGCAGAAGGCAGGTGTGTCCATCCTCGTATGACCTGGCCACGCGGCCGGACACGCTGGATGCCCGGAGTCCTGGGCAGGGCCGATGCCAAGCCTGGGGTCGAGTCTACCCTGAACTGTGTCAGGACACACTGGTGACCTGGTCCCTAAAGTGAACCCATGAGAACGAGGCAGGGCTCAGGTCTGTGGACACACACGGGTCCCCACGAGTCGGAGTGCACTTAGTGGCAGGTGGAGTTCGTTCAGGGCTACAGAAGCCGCGGTGGGTGACGCACTGCAGCTTGCCTCCCCTGGAGCCTCGAACTCCTGCCCATTCTCCAGAAAAACAAGGGCCACCCAGCAGAGACCCTCAGGTCCCACTCAAGAGAGAAGGCTTTGTTCCCAGGACCCACCTGTCATGAAACAACACAAACATTACACCAACACCAGAGAGGGACTGCTCCCGAGATCACTGTGATTGTGAGGAGCTGTCAGTCGAGCCCAGCAGACTGGAGCCCTGTCCTACCCGGCCCTCTCGGACACGCTCAGCCCCCTGCTGCAGCCGCTGTGTCTCCCCATCGCGGGCACAATCTTCCCACCTTGCACTGACCCTTCACCTCAACAGGACACTGGCCCAAAGCAACGACGAGAGCAGGGAGGGAGGGGAAACGTACCAGGTGCATGAGAACAAACCGTGGGCAACACACACGCCCCCAAGACAACCCCCAGGAGCACAGTGCCCAGGGCTGACCCCCCCCCCCACGGCCGACCCGCCCCCCCACGGCTGACTCTCCTGCAGCTGACACCCCCTGCGGCTGACCCTCTCGCAGGTGACCCTTCTGCAGCTGACACCCCCGGCAGCATCTCTTACTGCAGGAGACCGCCCATCTTTCTCCTGAAGAGCAGCTGGTGGATTTGAACCGTGTGCCTTTGGGCTGGCGGCACGTCTCCTTCCCACCAGAGTGCTCTACAGCCCGGTCAAAAACAGAAGGAATGACAGCGTCCCGCCCTCCCGATCCAGGGTTGGAGCTGTACGTTGATGGTCCTCCATCGCTCTCCCTCTTACACTAACTGTTCAAGTCTCTAATTCCAGGTCAAGGTCTTGGGGTTTTGTCTCGACTTTGGGACTCTTAATGTACAAAGTGAGTCACAGGAGAAAAGGGCGGGCTGGCACCAGGAGATGCCATTCCCATCACAGGCTCTCCCGGGAGCTGGCACCCACCAAGACCGACACACTTGCTTCCCCAATCCGGGGTCAGTCCACTGCAAGGGGGCACTTCGCTGCTGGCATGTGCCGTCAAGTTGGAACCAACCCATAACTGACCCACCAGCAGGTTTTCAGAGGCAATAAATCACACGGGAGAGGAAGCAGCTTTCTCCTCTGGAGTGCAGGTGGATGTGAACTGGGTACCTCTGGCTGGCAGCTCTCCTTATGCCCTAGGCCACCACAGCCAGCAGCTTCCTTAACACAAGGACGTGCAGGTTAGGCCCAGAAGCCGCCTTAGTTCTGCGCTAGACTCAAATGGCTAAGAAGACCCTTGACTTTCTCAGACTTACAGAGGCAGAGCCCTGGTGGAGACATGACATGACAGGGGAGGTGAGCTACGTGGCCAACACAGCGGTGCCAGCCTCCTCATCTCCCATCCTTCAGCCCTGAACCACGGGGCAAGCACAGTGACTGATGGGTGCAGGGGCAGGATGAGGACGGAGCTGGGGCTGCAGGTAAATCACCACCAGGCACCACGAATCCTGTCCCCTGGACCTCGAGCACCTCTGGTTCTCACGGACAGCATCTCCCGAGATTCTGCTCAGCCCAGGAAGCTGAGAGGGGGCAGAGTGACCAGCACCGCGCCACCTGGGCTCTCCACACTCACCCACTTTGCAATGGGGCAGCCGCGTGAGCTCTTGCCCTCCTTCCCGGTGTAGATGACCTTCTCGATCCGGATGGCCTTGCCCTTCTCGCCATACCTGGACAGGAACACAGAGAGCCCCGTCAGCACAGTGGGGACAAGGGAGAAGGACTTCTGACAAGAAGGATGCTCGGTGTCCTTCAGCCTGGGCACTGCCGGCACCCAGGAGGCCAAGGAGAAGCAGCAGAAGCTGTGGGTTCCTTCTGAGAGCCCCCTGGTCCCCCTGCTTCATCTCCTCCCATCCACCCAGACCAGCAGGCCAGGGCAGATGGAGCAGGGAGCCCAATGTCCCTGGATGAAGACTCTGGAGCCTGCAGAGGGCACTGACATTAAAGGGACACTTGCCCAGCCATTTCAGCCAAGGCACTCCAAGAGTTCACTATCTACAGATTCAATAAAGTAAGAGAACAAGTGAGGAGCCTCTCCCTGTCCCCTTTCAGGCCTGCCTGCTGGGCAGATGAAGAGTAACACTGAGGCTGGTGTGGGATGCCCCTTCAGGTACAAGCTCCATGCTTACAGGACGTTAAGCACATCTCCCTGCCCCACATGCCACAGTCAGGCTGCGTGGTCACTGTGTTTGAGTGCTGGAACCACAGTCTGCAGGGTTCAACTTGTTGGCAATGAGGTTGGTTTATCATAGCTGAATACACACAGCCGGTCTCTTTTACTCCCATTTCTAGGACTTGTTACGTCATATAATAAATATGATACAAACACACCAACATTTACTAACAAGATAGTCATGTTCTATCAACTAAATCAGGATCAGAAAAGCCCACGATGGGAGTGATTCAACAAGATGCAAGTACAATTTAAGCAAGATTTCCACACAGTGGAGAAGTGATCAAAAAGGCCTGGATAACAGTGCTTCTAACTGATTGGAAATGGTTAATAAAGTCCAGAAACTTAACAAAGATGCCAAATAAAAACAATGTAGTTAATTCAACTTGATTTCGGACACACAAAGACCACTTCCTAGCAGAGGCACACATTCTTCTCCAGTGCACATGGGTTATCTCCAGTACAGACCACATGTCGGGTCACAAGGAGGCGTCAACAAGTTAAAAACGCTGACATACTCTAAAGCACCTTTTCAGATCACAGTTTTATAAAGTTAGAAATCTGCAGGGAAACTGGGGCGGGCGGGACAAGGAAATCAAGTATGTGGACATGAAATCTTCCTGCTTGAGCAGGGCTGGGTAACAAAGAAATGTAACTGTTTAACCAAAAGTGAGAAGGAAACAACGTATCAAAATCTTTAGGACCCAGTAAAGGCAGTACTCAGAGGCCAATTTATAGCAATAAACACACACATCAAAATCAATACCTTAATTAGGAAGGGACTTGCAAACCCTACACTCCCCAGAAGAAGGAAAGAGAGGAGAATAGATCAGAGGTAATCAACAGAATCCACAAGCTGGCTCCTGGAAAGGATTAGTAAATCTAACAAGCTACTGGAAAATCTAACAAAAAAGGAGGAAGATTCAAGTAGCATGAATAATAAACAGGTGACCTCACAACAGAAACAACTGAAATGAACAGGTTGATAACAATCCTATACTAAAGTCTTAAATTTGAGAACCTAGAGGAAACAAGATGGACTGACCCGGTGACAGCAGCAGTGGGCTCCGATATGTCAGAGGTGAGGGGACAGCACAGGACAGGGTTCAGCACACTCTTCAGAGGGTCACAGGGAGTTGTACTTGACTCGATGGCACACAGCAAGAGAGGAAGCGGACAGTTGTAGAAATGCACTGCCTTCATAAACTAACACAGAGGTAGACTACTGGAATAGACCCATCATAAAAGAAGAAACAGAACTATAAAAATAAATCAAACCCAAGAGCGTCTATGCAGTAACCAGACAGGGTTTGATGTCAATGGTGAATTCTTCTAGACAGTCAGAAGAGCGGACACCGATTCTACCAAAAATATTTCCAAATATTCTTCCACTCATTCAATGAAGTAATAGCCATAACCCTGATACTAGAGCCGTGCAAAGAAGTAGCTCAAAAAGAAAATTAGAGGACCATCTGTCAACATAGGTGCAAACATTCTCAACAAAATTCTAACCAACATCCTGTTATTTTAAAAAATGATTCATCGTGATCAAGTTGGATTCATCCTGGGTTTGTAAGGACAGATCAATGTCACAATCACTGTAAGGAATCCATCATGTAAATAAGTCGGAGAAGAACCACTGATATCAACACTGAAAAGAAACTGCGTGAAATTCAATACCCTTCCTGATAAAAACACTCAACACAATTTAAAAAAAAGACTATTGTGGTGCACCTAAAAAAAACCCTCCAAAACACCCCAGCCCTGAGTATAAGAGGACTAGAAGGGGGAAGTGGATCTCAACAAAGGGTGTAGCAGGTTCTAAGTGGCTGGAAGTGTTCCATCAAGGCCAGCAGACACTAGGGCGATGGTGTGTGTCTGTATCACACGACAAGTATCGGACCTGGTGGCTTCGCAATGTCAGGCTCAGGCCGTCTGCTAGCAGGAAGCAGCCAGAGGGGTCCACTCGGGCAGGCTGCTCACCGGCCACCTGGAGCGCCTCGGGTCCAGATCTGCTGCATCATGTGGTGGTTATGCGGCGTGGACGCTGCTCATTTCTGGACCTCAAAATCTCCCCCTGCTCCGAAGTCCTGCTGCAGAACGCTACATACTGACATAGAATAGACGTGGACGTGGGGAGCGGCCAAACCTCGAAACACCCAGGAAAAGTAAGTACCAGTGTCAACACAACAGCGTTCCTCCCGGGAACAATCAGTGCGGAGTGTTTCCGCTCTCTGGGGGGTTTTCTTTTATGTTTTACTTTTACGATTTAAATTGAGGACAAAGAATTTTTCAAACACTGACTTGAGGCTTCCCTGGGAGAGAAGAGTGTCACGGATCATCATGATGTTGCAAGGCTGAGGTGACCAGGTGACACTGGTGCCTTACAGACGTGAAGTCAGGCCTCCGGGAAGCTGACGACCGGGGAGAGCTGCCTGTGTTTTCAGGAAGCAACAGCGGTGAGAGGCCTGGGCACCCCGTATCCTGGTGTGGAGGTGGGGCGCCGAAGGACGGAGGGAAGATCCGGCGTCCAGTGAACAGGTGAGCTGAGGACAGCAGCTCCGGCGTCCTCCTGGGGATCTGCCAGCCAGCTGGCCCTTGGTGCAGAGACCCTGGCTTCCCGGCCCAGCACTCACTGCTCTCTGACCAGCGGGGTTTTTAAAAACAAAACTCCTCCTCCTCCAAGGCCTCCCTGCTTCCCGCACCCACACCCGGAGGAACTCCTAGGCCCGCAAGCAAGTCTGGGACCAGAGGCTCAGACTGCATCTGCCACGTTATCCCAGGAGTCCCTGGGCCTCAGAGCAGGGCCCAGCGGCCAGCAGCATCGGTGCCCATTACTATCCTCTGTGCAAACCCGTTGGACCCGAACTTGGGGCAGGGGAGCAAGAGAGGCCACCTCCTGTGTGATGCAAGGCCTTCTGACACCCCCGGAGGGCTGGTCACAAGTTGGCTCGGCTCGATGGCGCGTACACGCGAGAGTGTTCACTCAGCCCTGAAATGACGCCTTGGTCCCTTGTCCCTGTCCCCACACACGTGGGCCCCACGAAGTCAGTCCATCACCCACGGATCAATACCGGACAGCCTCATGGATACAAAACCAAGAACAGGAAATGGACACAGACCCGCGTTTACGCAGCGGCTGCAAAGGGCCAGAGTGAGGGAGTCAAAGACCCTGCTTCTTGAACAAAGCTTTGGGCAGCAGGCGTTTAAGGCCCTGGCAAGGATGACAGTGCGCGGGGCTGGGGCTGCGGGGGCTGCGGGGCTGAGCTGGGGTAACCCAGCGCTACACAGCACACCTGGAAAGAGAAGAATTGACAAGCGTGCTACATACACGTCTGTGTAAAATAACACACAAGGATCGCATTAAGGGAGCCTGGAAACAATAGACTGTTTTAGGGTTTGCTTTCAACTTCTGCATCCTGTATACAATTCTACAATGAAAATGCAAAGTATCAGCATCTAACAGGGATGAGAGGGGACCAAGAAGGAAGTAAGAACAGATACTCTGAGAGAAGGGGAAGGCAGTCGACATTAAAGGGCTGATGAGACATTTTAATTAATTACACTACTCAGTGGCAATTAATGCTACAACCCACAATGCCTATGAAAAAGCAGGACGATGAGCAAACCCTCACTCAGAAATAGAAATGAAATAAAAGTATCAACATCTGTGTCTTGCCTTTTCCGAAGTTTGCTTTGTTCCCTTGGTGTATGAAGGACCTACGCAAGTACCGGTTCCACTAACTGAAAGAAGCTGGAAGGGTTTGCTGCTTTTAGGAAAAAAGGCGCAAAGCCACAGCAGCATTCAGTGCTGACAAAGCGAATCCCGCCACTCAGATCCTCGCCCCCGACTACGCTCAGTCACAGCCTCAAGCCACTCGAGCTCCGAACCACGTGGTCAGCTTCTACACGTTCTGTCTCCAAGCGCTCTGGGCATCTGTTCGCAAGATGTGCCCCAAGGTCTCAGAAAAGCCCAAGAACTTGTCGGGGTGTCGTGCCTGGTGAAGAGCTGGATGTAATTAAGTGTTCTGATCACAGCAGAACAAAGGCATGGTGTGCGCGCTGAGCTTGCCTGCGTTGACCACCTGCGCTCCCCCCCACCCCCAAACAATGGTGAAAGCTGCCAGGGTTGATTCTGGTTCTGCCAGGAGCAAGAGGGTGTGTGAGTGGACGGGCGGGCGTGTGAGTGGACGGGTGGGCACGAGTGGACGGGTGGGCACGAGTGGACGGGTGGGCACGAGTGGACGGGTGGGCACATGAGTGGACAGGCGGGTGCGTGGAGCGTCCTTAAGGCGGAAGGGGAAATCAGCCAGCTTCCTCGACTAGCTGAACAAGGCACTGGGGCACAAGGACTGAGGCACTGGTGACCAGGAGGGGAGAAGAGTACTGAATACACCGCGGACTGCTAGGAGAACACACAGGTCCGTCCTGGGGATGAGACCAGGTTGCTCCCAGGAGGCAAGGATTCATGAAGCTCTGTCTGACATACTTTGGACA